TAGAGATTTCTTCTGTTCTTTCCTTTATGACATGTTTCTTTGCCTCCACATTTTGGCTGCTTCCAGGTGTTTGTTTCTATGTATTAGGTAGAGCTTCTATGTCTCCTGGAATTTGTAGAGTGGCTTTGTGTAGTAGGTGTCCTGTAGGATCCAGTGGCTCATCCTCCCAAGTCACCTGAATTGGGCCTTCTAGGTGCTCCTCTGTGTGGGATGTGTGAACTGTCCTGTTGCAGTTGAGCCTTGGTTGCTGTTGGTGTCACTGGGAGGAATTTACCCCCAGGCCAGTCAGCTGTGAGGATCAGCTGCAACTACAGCCAAAGAGCTGCTGTGCTGAAGACACCCCTATGGAGCAGTGGCGTTTTGGTGTTCACCAAGTGTGCCCCTTGGGTGTGTTACTCATGTATGCGGTAGGGTTGTAATCCAGTGTGGTCAGGTCTGACCACCAGGTGCACTGTCTTTGGGGCCTCCCAGGAGGTGCAAAGTCAGCCTCTGCCAGTGCCCTGCCCAGGGCCACCCAGCATGAACTATACAGCAAACTGTAGTTATTTGCTACTTTTGCTGGGCTTAGAGGTGTCCAGGAGAGGCCAAGTTATAAACCAAATGCAGACTGCAACTAGTGCCAGGCCTGGGACTACTTATCAAGCTGTATGGGGCATGCTGCTGCTTGTTTGAGAGATTTTAGGAAAGTCCTAATCATAAGGCTTGAGAGGCCACTTTCACAGAAAAGCCACTGGAAATAGCTTGGATGAGTTTGCAGGCAGGGAGAGGTGGGGTCTCTGGGAATCACCAGGGTGGGACCAAAGGTGTGAGTCAAGTGCTGGTGATTCAAATATGGTGCCTATTGTGGGAGAGCTTGCCAAAGGAGCAATCACCTCTGCCAGCTCCTCTCTCTGGGAGAAACTGACCCTCCACCTCTTGCTCCAATTTCAGGCAGGTTAGTTTCTCCCCAAATGTCCCAGATATCTTTCAAGCTCTGCCAAGCCCTGGGGCTCAGAGGAAGTTCCTCTGAGTGAGTCCATGTGTGGGCCCTTTAAGAGGAGCTTCCTGGGACTCCTGCACCCTGTGCGACCCTCAACAATAGTCCCCACTGGGTTTTCACAGCCAGAAGTTGTAGGGATTTCTCTTCCTAGCCCTAAAACCTGGGCTGGGGACCCCTTGTTCCTCCAGGAAACCTTCACTGCTGAGATATTCCTCCCAGGTTTAACCCGCACCACTGGGTGTGGGCCCATGGCCGAGTCTCCAGGATACAGCCCCAGCTGAGCCTCTGGGATTCAGCCCCAATCTGCCCTCATCTCTGCTCCCCCTACAGGTCCTGGTGCTTCTTCATTTCCCTGGTTATAGGGCTTCTGTTCAGCTAGATTTCAGGAGGTTCTGAGTGATGGGTGTTCTGTATTTTAGTTGTAATTTTGATGTGGTTGTGGGAGGTGGTGGGTACAGCTGTTACTTATGCCACTATCTTGTTTTCTCCAATAATATTTTTTTTTTAAAAAAAGAAACATCAAGTTGATTTCAGATGAGAGACAGTCACTGACAAGCTGCTTCCTGCATGTCTCCATCTGGGGGATTTAGCCTGCAACTGGATATGTAATCTGACCAGAAATCAAACCTCCATCTCCTGGATCAAAGAAAGGTCAATGCTCAACTGCTAAGCCATGCCAGGTGAGTTAGTGTAATTTTTATTTCAGATATTGTATTTATTAATTTTGAGGGGTTCTTTTTGTATGTGTTTTTTTTTTATTTTTTTTATTTTTTTAATGCAGTTGAAATACTCATTAGGTTTCTTCAGCATCTTTATAACCATTATTTCAAACTCTATAGTTGATTTCTTACCTGTATTTTATTTAATGTTCTTTTTTCTTTCTGGAGTTTTTTCTGTTATTTCATTCTGGGTATATTTTTTTGTCCTTTATTTTGGTTTCATGTCTGTTTGTTTCTGTGTATTAGGTAGCTTTTCTATGTCTCCCTATTCTGGTAGCATAGGCTTTTGTATTAAGTGTCCTGTGAAACCTAGTGATCAAGTCTCCCTGATCACCTGAGCTGGGTCATCCACAGTTGTCTTTTTGTGTGGACTATGTGAGCCATTCTATTGTAGTTGAGGTTTTTTTGTTTTTGTTGTTAAATATGTTTTTATTAATTTCAGAGAGAGAAAGGGAGAGGGTAAGCAAGATATAGATAGAAGCATCAATGATGAGAGTCATTGATTGGCTGCCTCCTGCATGGCCTCTACTGGGAATTGAGCCTGCAACCCAGGTATGTGCCCTGATGGGGAATCTAACCTTGATCTCCTGGATTATAGGTCTATGCTCAACATCTGGGCCATGCTGGCCTGGCTATAGTTGACTTTTGATTGCAGTTGAGTCCTCTGTGTGTTGGGTCAATCCTCAGACTGGCTGACTGTGAGGATCAGTTCTAACTGCACTGTATGTTCTGGTGTTGGGGTGCTGTCAACACAAAGAAAAATGTGCCTAAGCAGGGTTTGGTGCCTGTAAAAATATTTTTGGTTTTACTTCTTTTGGAGTTTATGGGCTTCTTCTCTCAGTTTGTCTGAAGCTTACCATTGAGAGTACTGGTTTAGGAATATTTTGGATAGATTCTAATACATTGCCTGTGACTAGCCCTCAGTAACCCATTTGAAGCTACAAAGTGATCTACATTTGCCTCTGCGGGGCCAGGGTTTTTCATGGCAAGCACCAATCTGTGCATTAGGGTAGGTTTATACCAGCATTGATTATGGGGACAGGTGAGCAAAAGGCCCAAAATACCCTAATATCCATCCTTTGCCAGCCTCTGTCTGTTGGCTGCCTGTTAGGCTCAGACAATGAAAAAAATCTCTGGCGGTACTTGAGTTGCATGAGGTAGGTTCTAAGTGAGTCATAGGTTAGTGCGAGTAAAGGTCTCCATATAGATACAGAATCAAACTTGGTTTTAGTGATGGGTCTGAGGTGACTCAGCAAAAGTCCTAGAATACACCAAGGCCATTGGCCACTCAATGCCTGCAGATCTTTGTGGTGGGGTAGGGTCTCAGGGAGTTATGGTGAGACCAACAGTGATTATTAGGCCCAAATAGATAAAAATTTGAAAGTGTAAAGAAAAGTCTCTGCACTTGTCTGGCGTTCAAAAAAAAAGTGGCCCCTGACCCAGAGCCACAATTTAGTTTTTCAAAGGTTCTGCCCAAAACCCAGAGCTTGAGTTTGGCAAGGAAGAAGTAATGAGAATTTGAGAGTAGGTTTATTAAATCACTTTTGGGATGGTGGTGCTGTTAGGCTCATAGGAAGGGGGACAGAATGGTTTCAGACCTAGTCTCTGACACCCAAAACTCTACCCAGGTTTTTACATTATGGGTCCTGATAACTGACTTTTTTGCAGGGTGTGAGCTCAGCTGGGCAGGGTCACAGGGAATCAAGAGGGTAGGGCTATTATGTTCAAGCTGGTTGATGCTGTATGACATGGAATTGTTGACCCAGGAAGTTGGCATCTGTGGGTGATGTGAGAAAGACTCAGCACAGGGGCCTTGATGGCTGTCCCTTCAGCTCTCTTTTCAGAGCCTCACAACCCAGTCTCTTCTCACAGTTTGCTCAGAGCCAATCTCACCTTGCCTGAGCCCAGCATGTTTGGCTGAAAATGAGATTTTTGCACAGACCTTTTTAAGAGGGCACTTGTGTTTTAACAGACTCCAGTCTCTCCCTGGATGACAGAATCACCACTGATTTCAAAACCATATGTGATGTTAACTCTTCTTCCAGGTTCTGGTGCCTTGAGATTGCAACTGAGAGTCCTCTGAATTTTATCACCAAAATTGGTGCAGAGCAAATCTTTTGCATCTCTGTTTTTCCTATCAGTCTTTTTTTTTCTTTAAATACTTTTTATTTTTTAATTACAGTTGACATACATATTAGTTTATTATTTTTATTTTTTATTTCCATGTAAAACATTGCTTAAGTTTAATGTTTATTTTCCCAAGACAGCCTAGCCTGCACTCTATTTGGGTAAATTTTAAAAGCTAGTTTTATTCTGCTTCTAGTTTTAAACTTTAACCATGTTTCTGATGACAAGGAATGCTGCAAAAATACTGTAGTTTAAAAGTTATGATTACAAAATAATTTTTATCCATTCTACAGTGTTTCAGATAATACCAGTTCATTTTTAAACACAAAGTAGATATAGATGTAATGGTGGCTAATCTGGTCCGTTTCATAACTTATAGCAAACTGTCACTCATGCAACACTTGTCCTCAAAGGGGAAGGCACAAGATTTCCTACAATGAGCCACCTTGTAAAGAGTTCTTTTTGTATAAATTAATTTATGTCACATTTAATTTAGTGTGCATAACCTAAAAACTGAGGTATTATCCAATTTATAAAACCATTTGCATAACTTTTATGCAACTTTTATGCAACTTTTAAAAATACAAAGTTTTCTCCCTAAAGTGGCTCAAAATAGATGGTTTATGGCTGCCTACATCTAAGATAAAAAGATTCTAAAACAATTGAACAGATTAGGCATATTATTAAAGGTGTTCAAACCATTATTTGATTTATACATCTATTCAAACCTCTCCATCAGTCTTTATTCAGCAGTACATACCCACCAAATTCCATTTTAGAAGTTTCCATATCATTTTCATAGAAAAAAAAGTTTGAAAACAAGTAACATTTAAACAAAGCATGATATTCTACCACAACTGAAACTTTTTTCTTCTTCTTTACAGGACTCAACAAAATGTAAAATGTAAAAATGAACTATGTTGTAGATTTACCTTATGCAAATATCTTTATATTATCTCTGAAAATAAAAACAATGTCTTTTTAAAGCACATTTAACTGTTTTATACTATTATGGTAACTTGTGTACTGCAACACAGCCTATTTTGAGAGGAATTTATAATTTTTTTCAGTGCAAAAATCTACACAAATTAGTTTTGATGACATGGAAAACTTTTCATAGCATCAAACATTCATCTGGTGCAAATGCACAGGGAAACCTTCCTGAAAAGTCTTCTGACTTGAGAAGCAAGTAAAAGGCCATACTAGGTAAAGGAAATAAATCTTAAAACAAAAACAAAAACCTAAAAAAAGGGGGGGCCCTAAAAAAAAAAAAAAGAAAAAAAACAGAAAAAGGAGGGGGGATGGAAGAAAGGAAGAGGGAATAGAAGACACAGGCTTCAGAGTAAACCAATGTCTGCTGCTAAACCAGTCTTTGTTTTCAGGTCCAGGGTACATTAACACTTATTATCTCATTTTGATGATTTAATAGGTTTGTTTTTCAGTCCCTTGAAGGTGAATCAAGCTTGCATGCATTCACATACAGCGCCACAACCACATTCTCATACATAGTCACTCGAGGACTAGGAGTCTGCTTCATGAGTGAAGAGCTCTAGATTTGAAAGATGAACCTGGCTCTCTAATGAGCCATTCATTCATTCAACATTGTCTATTCACACATTGCTTCATAGCAAGGCCTGGTCTCATTTGCCTTTGACTTATATAGGCATCCTATTCTCTTTTATGCTTATAAGGCTTGAAGATGACAGTACTGCACTTTCCCCTCAATTGATACAGAGCAGGTCAATCTTACTTCTCAGGCACTGAATATCTGTGATCTATAGCCCTTTTTACTTTGATCAACCTAAATAAGCATCCATGCAAAGTTTTCCTTACATTTTGCCACTCATTCTCACTTGAACCCACTCACCGTCTTGACCTCATTTGTGGCTGGGAGCAGGGGCATTCTGCTGCTTCTCACAGTGCCACTATCTTCTCTCCTATATTTCTTAACTTATATAAACTCAACATTTCAAGTAAAATTTAAAAGATTTTTTTATCCAATGTTGAAGAATGCACCATAGGATCCAAGACGGTGGTAAAGTGAGTAGAAATTATACTTGCCTCCTCCTAGTATCAAACTGGAATTACAACTAAAATATAGAATAATCAATTTTAATAACCAATTGAACACTAGCTGAAAGAAGTAGTAAAATCAAGAATTTACAGAAGTAGCCACATAAAGACGGCTCCTCACATACACAAGTACTTCCTAGGAGAATAGAAATCAGCACCAAAACAGCATATGGTGCCCAGGAGAAACTCACCTGATTGTCTTTTTTCTCTCTCTTTCCCTTAGAAAAAAGAGAAAGGGAAAACATTTGTTTTTTTCTTCTTTTAAATTTTATAATAATTTTAAAAATATTTTAAAAAATTTTTATTTAATTTTATTTTCTAAAAAGAATTTTGCTTAGCTTCTTTTGTTTTGTTTCTTTGCTTTGTTTTGTTTTATCCTTGCTTCTCCTATCAAGACTTTCTTGATATTCCCTGCTTAATGGCTGTGACTTTATCATTATAACCATCAAGTTTACTGCTTTTCTCTATAGTTTCCTCAAAATCTCTGATTGGATTCCCTCCCTGCCCTGGCTTTATCCCTCTCTCTCCTCTCGATCCGTTGGCATAACTTTCTTCTTCTTCTTTTCTTTCTTTGTTTTCCTCTCTCTGTCTTCCTGTCTTTATGTTTGATTGTTAGTTTCTCTTATTCTCTTTAATGTATTTTTAGTTTTTCATTTGCAACTATTATCCTATTCCTATTCTCTCCCTTAATTGTTTGCTAGACCTTCTTTCAGAATCTTTTCTCTGCCTCTATTATCTCCCAGTAGCTTCTATATTTTTTACATTTTAGTTTATTATTATTACTTTCTAAATTTTAGTGACTATTAACAACAATATATTTCTCTCTCTCTGAACTTTTCTTTCTCTTTCTTTTTTTTTAAAGCTATTTTTTCTCTCTAGAATTTGTATTCTCCCTTCTCTCCCAGTTTGGTTTTCACTTGGGTTGTCTTCATTGTGACTGTCAAGATATTTTGTAAGATACCCCTTGTTTCCTGGAAGTTTAGTTGTATATTTTCCTGCCTTGCCAGCACCCGTACAACAGCTTACATGATGAGGTTGGGGCTGAGACACACAGTTGGACAACCTGAGAGGAGAGTCCTTCCAAGGACTGGTCAATAACACTCTAGACCCAATGACAACAGGAGAACCCAAAGAACCCACAAAAGGGTCAGCCACAAGAGGGACACGCCTAGAGCAAAGAGCTCAGAGGTATAAGGAAAACACATCTCTGGCTCCACTAGGCTCACAATACAAAATCTCTCCCCAGAAGACTGAGAGAGAACAATTATACCTAATATACAGAAAAAATACTAATACCTACCAAAATGAGGAGACAAAAAACTAACTTTCAAATTAAAGAAAAGAAAAAATTGCCAGAAAAAGCCTTTGATGAGATGGAGTTAAGCAAGTTATCAGAAACAGAGTTCAGATTATTGATTATGAAGATGTTCCAGGAACTTAACAAGTCACTAGATGATAAGATCAAGGTTCTTACAGAGAACATGAAAAAAGAGATACATAACATAAGCAAAACTCAGACAGATAAAGAATGCTGTATCTGCTATCAAGAATACACTGGAAGAAATTAAAAACAGGTTCAATGAGCAGAGGATAGAATAAATGATTTAGAAGACAAGGTAGGAAAATCACTCAGAGCAGCAAAAAGAAAAAAAACACTTAAAAAGCATGAGGACAATCAAAGAGAGCTTTGGGACAGCATGATGTGAAACAACATTTGCATTATAGGAGTGCCAGAGGGGAAGGAAAGAGGGAAGGGATAGAAAATTTGTCAGAGGAAATAACAGAAAACTTCCGTAGGCTGTCGAGGGAGAAAGCCACACAAGTTCAGGAAGCACAGAGGGTTCCAAACAAGAGGGACCCAAAGATACCCACTGCAAGACACATTATAATTAAAATGATAAATGTCAAGGAAAAAGAGAAAATATTAAGGACTGCAAGAGAGAGATAAGCAGTGACCTACAAGGCAACCCCCATAAGGCTGACAGTTGATTTCTCAACAGAAACTCTTCAAGCCAGAAGGGAGTGGCATGAAGTTCTCCAAGTAATGAAAAGGATGAACATGCAACCAAGATTGCTTTATCCAGCAAGACGTTTGTTTAAAATTGAAGGTGAAATAAAGAGCTTCCCAGGCAAAAAAAGGCGAAAAGAGTTCAGTACCACCAAACATGCATTTCAATAAATGCTAAAAGGACTGCTCTAAGTAAAAGAAAGAACAGTGAGAGAAAAGTACATCAGCATAAAGGGGAAAAATGGCATTAAATAAGTTTATATCAGTAGTGACCTTTAATGTAAATGGAATAAATGGTCCAAGCAAGAGACAAAGAGCAGCTGAATGGGTAAGAAAACAGGACCCAAATATATGCTGTCTACAAGAGACCCACCTGAGAGCAAAAGACTCACATAGGTTGAAAGTGAAAGTATGGAATGAATAATTCCATGCAGATGGAAAGAAAAAGAAAGCTGAAGTAGCTTTTGTTTGTTTCTGACAAAATAGACTTCAAAATATAGACCATAACAAGACACAAAGATGATCACTATATAATACTAAAGGGATCAATCCAACAGGAGGAAATAACCCTTATAAACATTTATGTACCCAATATAGGAGCATGTATTATATAAAAAGTTTCTTGGTGGACTTTAAGGGGGTGATTGACAGAAACACAACCATAGTAGGGGACTTTAACACCCCACTGTCAGCACTGGACAGATCATGAAGACAAAAAATCAACAAGGAAATGCAGACCTTAAATGAATCACTAGATCTAATGTGTTTAATTGACAATTACAGAACATTTCATTCCAAAGCAGCAGAATACACATTCTTCTCAAGTGTTCATGGAACATTCTCAAAAATAGACCCCATGTTAGGGCACAAAGCAAGTCTCTACAAATGCAAGAAGATTGAAATTATATCAAGCATCTTCTCGGATCACAATGCCATGAAACTAGAAATTAACCACTATAAAAAAACCCCAAAATATTCAAACATATGGAAGCTAAATAGCATGCCATTAAACAATGAATGGGTTACCAATGAGATCAAGGGAGAAATCAAACACTTCATGGGAAAAAAAATGAAAATGAACAGAGAACAACCCAAACCTGTGGGACACAGTGAAAGCAGTCCTGAGAGGAAAATTCATAGCATTACAAGCCTATCTCAAGAAACAAGAAAAAGATCTAATGAACCATCTAACAACTAAAAGAACTAGAATGAGAACAGCAAGATAAGCTCTGAGGAAGTCGAAGGAAGGAAATAATAAAGATCAGAGCAGAAATTAATAACATGGAGACTAAAAAAACAATACAGAAATATAACAAACACCTAAATGGTAGGAAGCTCCTGTCCTGTCTAAGGCATCCTTTCACAAGGCTGCAAATCTATTGTGGGTTTGAGTGATATTGTTTCCTAGAAGAAGGTTCTTTGCTTCCTGAGGTTTTATAATTTACTAACAATACTTTAGCTTTGCCCCACAACCATAATTCTTCTTCCATGAAGAAGTACACTTTCTGGAGCATCCAAGTCAGGGTGGAACTCAAGATAAAAATGGAAGTAGTCCTAAATCTTGTAGTTTCCTGAAGCAGTAAGGCTCCCATATGTCAGTCAACAGAACTTTCTTTGAGGAGGACAAACAAGTAACCTCATGGATTCCTGTGGAGGTGATCTGGCACAAAGAAGACTAAATGGCAAAAGTTTGGCTCTGAAACTTGTGTGCCAGTGTATGACTAATGGGGTGAAGATGTATGCTTGGTGTTAACATGGGAAGAATTACTGGTTTTATCTATAAGCTCTTGAATAAGACTCCCACTGCTTCTTTTTTCTGAAAAATAAGGGAAAAAAGTTACATGCCACATTTATTCAAAGAGTCTGCTGACTGGCAGTGGAATGGCCTAACCAAGCACTTGTCCTGCTAT